GTGTGTGTGTGTGTGTGTGTGTGTGTGTGTGTGTGTGTGTCTGGGCCAGCTTGGCGGGCTGCAAATGGTATTTCGCTGTCCTCGGTGGTTTTGCTGGAATCAAACACTGTTTATCACCCCCTTCCCCTGTGCCCACTTCCTGTCCTTTTCCCTGTTGTCAGAAAAGTAATTCGGCGTCATTGCAGGAAAACAATAATCACAAACCAGACCAGTTAACAGAAGAAAATTAATGTCACCAGTAATCATTTCTGGTGATTACCCACACATTCCTCAAGCATTTTCATGCACGCCTATCTGATAGTTTTAAGAACTACCTGAAACATTTTTGTCTGTAGGCCTAGTGTTTTTCCTATTCATATATCGCTTATGTATATTATGATGTACAGACTGTTTTTGTATCTGCTTTTCACACATAAATGTGTGTGTATATTTATACGCACACATACTCTTTACCTTCATTTCATGTCATTAAAGATGCTTTTGAAATATTTTCTTTGACTCAATATTCTATTGAATTCATGGCTAGGTAGAAGGTTAGATAGATATGTGTACATATGTATCTATGTCTATATCTCTGTGTGTTCATGTGTCTTATGTGTGTTTTATTTTAACTCTTTCCTCTTTGTTGAACATCTAGATTGTTTCTGTTTTTCCTTTATGTAATCCAAAGCTGCCATGAAAATCCTAGTGCAGAAAACTTGCCAACTATCAAGATTATTTTCTGATCAGTTATTGCTAAAAGTAGAACTCATGTGTCAAAGTAAATGGAGAGTTTGAATGTTTTTTGGAGGGGAGAAAGAATGTGTTATTCAATGGCCATCTGTACAGATAGTACAAGGTCACCTTCATAATGTGCATCAGTGTTGTCAGATGACCCAGATACCTGGATGATTTTCTGCACTTGCTATTACGTTCGTTTTTGCACTTCACCAGTATTTTCTCAGGGACACAGGAGCTTTTTTATTTTTGTTTATGTTATACATTTATTTTTATACAAGTTGTACAAAAGTATAATACAAAATATTTTACAAAAATTGCTAATGTAAGAAAAGAAAGTTGAAATCTAATACCCCTCCTAATACCACTACTTCACAAAATAAATTTTCAATAATAGGTATCCACCTACCTTTATATTTATAACACCACATGCATTGTTTTATTGGAGTGTATTTTGCTATTACAGTTCTCTCGGGTCATCTTTGTAAATCATTAGTTATTGTCCTGCTATTCTGTTGTTACATATATTCTGTCATTGGGATAAGCTATGATTTCTGCAACCAAGCATCCTTTGGGGCTTTGTTTAAAAAGATTTTCATTTTTTTCCTCATAAGATCAATTCCGTGATTAACAACTTTTTAACATGAATGTCTAGGCATATTTTATTGTTTTTTTTTTAAATCTCTTACTAGTGGAATTACAGAGTAATACATATGAACATGTTAAATATTTTTCTTTGTCTTTATATCCACTAGTTTATATCTACTACAGTAGTGAATATAAACATGTAGAAAAGTGCATGTATCACATCCCATCTTAAACTGATGAAAGTGTTTTTTAGATTTTGTTAAGCTGAAAAAGCTTGTTAATTTTTCTATCATTTTATTTTACAAGCACATTTTTAAAGAGGGAGATCTGGTACATTAAAATATAGATTAAAACCACTTTAGATTATTTTTATACTGGCCTCTACTATCCATCCATAAGCATTTAAAACCAATTATAGAATTATACTGAGCACATTTTGTCATGATTTGTGTTTCAATATATTGAAACACCTAAAACATCCATGGCTTTTCAGTTTTCTCCTGAAACTATCATTGTATAAGACTGGAATTTTTTTTAGGAATTTACGTATTAAGCGTATTAAAGTAGTTTCTAAGATTTCCCCCATTAAACCCAAGGTGTGATAAATAATTTTACAGTTGAATTGCCTCCCTCTCCTAGGGCAAAATGATGATTTTAAGAGAACAAAAAGGAGCATCTTTAAAAAACTACTCAGAAATAAAACAGTTTTACAAACTCTATAAAAGGAATAAAACAGAGCCTCTGCCTTGGTGGAAGAAGCATGCTAATTTATGGTGTTTAATACTTTGATGCAGACCCTTTGTTTAGTTCAAAGCAACATTGACAATTTGGCAAAGCTGAAAAACAAAGAAACCCTTGTTTTAGGGTTTATTCTTGTAGGGTATAGATTGCTATTAGTTCTTCATTGAAGTTATATATTAAAATATATCTGTTATTTTATTTGTTTAGCCCATCACAGAAGGAATTCAGAAATAACCCCCTATGCACCAAAGTGAACAGCTATTGGCATGACACAAAGGGTCCATCTTCAGTACACAGAGAGATCTGCCCTTAGCTTTGATCCAATCAGAACAAAACCTTTTTCACCATTACTGGGAAAATAAGCTAAAAGTAATGCAAGAGAGAGGGGAAAATCGGTTTGTCAATTTCTACAAAGAAGACAGCTGAAATTCTGATGAGGATTGTGTGAATTATATAGAATGATTTGTGTACTATTATTATCTTAAAAATACTGTTTTCCAGTTCATGAACATGGAAGGTCTTTTGTATAGATCTTTTTTCTCTCAACAACAATTTGTAGTTTTTAGGAGCAGTTTGCAATTATTAGGTTAAAGTTTTAAAATATTTAACAATTTTTGATATTATTATAAAAAGAATTGATTGCTTAATTTCCATTTTGGTTCACTCATTGCTACTGTATAGAAATATAATAGATTTACCTATATTGATTTTGTATCCTACAACATTGCTAAAGTCATTTATTCGTTCTAATATATATTGTGGATTTTCTAGGATTTTCTATATAAAATAATGTTATTACAAAGCTATAGTAATCAAAACAGTATGATACAGGCATAGAAACAGACACATAGACCAGTGGAACAGAATGGATAGCGCAGAAAACAAAACAAAACAACAACAAAAAAAAAACCTAGGCATATATGGCCAACTAATCTCCAACAAAGGCACAAAGAATACACAACAGAAAAAGGATTGCCTCTTCAATAAATGGTGTTGGGAAAACTGGATATCTGAATGCAAAAAATAAAAAAATTGGATGCTTATGTTACACCATACAGAAAAATCAACTCAAAATAGATTAAAGATTTAAACGTGAGACCTGAATTTATAAAACTCATGGAAGGAAACATAGAGGGAAAGCTGCATGACTTTGGTCTTAGCAATGATTTCATGGATATGACACTTAAAGCATAGACAATAAAAGCAAAAATAAACAAGTGGGAATACTTCAGATTAATAAGTTTTTATGTAGCATAAAATCAAAAAATGAAAAGGCAACCTAAGGAATGAAAAACATTGCAAAACATATATCCAATAAGCAGTTAATATCTAAAATACATAAGGAACTCACACAATTCAATAGCATATATAAAAAAAACACCAAACAACCTGAATTAAAAATGGGCAAAAGACCTAAATGGACATTTTTCTAAGGAAGATATATAAATCACCAACAAGTACAGGTAAAGATGCTCAACATCACTAATAATCAGCATCAGGGAGATGCAAGTCAAATTCACAATGAGACAACACCTCATACCTTTAGGATGTCTATTATCAAAAAGGGAAACTATAGCAAATGTTGANTAAACATCTTTATGCAGACAATACATTATCATAATAAAAGCATTTAAAAAAATATTGGTAAGGAAATAATAGAAAATCATCCTGAATTCCACCATTTGATGAACATAGAAAAAGCTTTTGAAGCATTTGAGACATATATATAAATAATTTAATATCTCCAAAAATGTAATATATAATGTATCTTCCAGTGTAACAAGTCTTATCATCTTTCCAAATTCTTAGTCTCCTACAATTTTATTTTTACTTAGTGTTTCATATTACAGATGAATTGTAATTTCTAAAACCCTGCCCCTTGATATATTTTTTAAGTGGTTATGGCTTTTCCCCAGTAAGAGTAAATGTATGGTGAACACATTTGGAGCTGAATGTTTGCTGACATCAAGAAATATTTAATTGCCTTGTATACCTTGCTCTCTGTTGCCAAGTGCTTCTTCCATAAAGTTTATGCCCCCCAACAGTGTAAGAGAATGCATAATTCCTTTATCATCTTCTTAAGTTAGTATTTTTTAAGTTACAGGAAATTATTTAGGCTTGTAGTTTTAAAAAATTATTTCATTTTACAAGTGCATTGCTTTAAAAAGATACGCATATTATATATACCCAACAGTCACTTTAAAGAGATTATGCCTTTGCAGACTTTGCCTTTTGTAAATTTCAAAACAATTATAGAATCACACTGAATGTATGCTATGCTAAATGTATATTCTATGCATTCATAGCAAAAGTATGCTGTCAAAATTTTTATGTAAGTAATTGTAAATACATCTACACCATCCTTTGCTATTCAATATTCTCCTGCAACTCACTGTCATCGTATAGGTGGATCAGAATTATTTTAAAAATGTTTCTTCACTTTGGACTTTAAAATAGTTTCTAAATTTTTCCCAGAGGCATGAATCTGTGATGAATAATTCTGCAGCAGCATTCCTGTGCTATTAAGATAAATACCTAAAAAGGGAATTGAAAAGTAGAAACCTTTTAATATTCTTTAACTGTATCATCAAGTAGCCTGAATATACCAATTTACACTTCCACTAGTATTTTACAGAATGCCCATTTCCTGTACAAGTATCTCTTTGGATATTTTAAACTTTTTTTTTTTTTTTGCCAATATAATGCTATTAGGACCATATCTCATTTTTTATTTGTCTTTTTAAGGTTTTTTAAAAAAGTTTTGTTGTTCAGATAATATAACTTCATATTAAAAAGAAATC